TACAATAACTGTCTAATTTCTCGCGCGCTGATTGGCTCGTTTTTATCATCAATAAGAGTACAGAAAGATACATTTTTAATTTATGCAAGCTTTCAACAGTTCAACTTTCAGCTGTCGAATTGTCAACTTTGTAACCAATGAGATTTTATTGACTCTTTTAAGTATAGCCAATCAAAAAGCGAGAAAAGCTATTGACAATGTTCGCTTCATCTTGAATAAAATTCACTTCTTTTTCTTTACGGCAAGTTTAAGGCGTCTTTTCCCTCATTCATTCCCGGCATTTGACCATTTTGGGGAGTTGTTATTGTAAAAAATAAATAGACGTCAGTTTTTTATGCGTCTGTCCTCTTATTGATGATAAATTTCGTCATGACATTGTCAAAGTCAACTGCGGAACCACTCGCCTGCGCCTTGTGGTTCCACAGCCACTTTGACAATGTTATGACGCAATTTATCATCAATAAGAGGACAGACGCATAAAAAACTGACGTCAATTTGTTAAACCGAAGCAGCTTTTGTTGGCCGGGTAGTAAATCTCGGGTTAAGGAAGTTTAACTCCTAGTTAGCATCCCCTACTCTTTGTTAAGCTTAAGGACGGTGCCCACTAAATGCAAAGGTTTTTGCGCCAGGTTAGGACCTTGCGGGAAAAGTAGATCTTTGCAAGGGCTATCGGAATCCGCAAAGAAAAAAGAGGGTAGCCACGCATTTTTTCGAGATAATTAGCCTTGAATCTCAACAAAAATGCTGACATTAGCATTTTTCTGAAAATAGAAGGAGAGGATATTTCTTCACAGCTTTCTTTAGAATTCGCCTTTACATACAGAAAAGCAAACACATTTATAAAGATTTATAAGTGGTAACATAAAAACCATNAAAATCGTTGCAACAGCACTTTTAGCGTCTCTGACAGCCTTCCTCTGTTTTAGCTAAAATACAGTCTAAATATCTTTTGCTCACAACCAGAAACTAATCACTTGCTGAATAGGCTTGCCACTTCCATTTCATAACATAAAATATAGGGGTAGCCACGCGTTTTTAAAAGTTATTGATCCTTTTTTAAACTTTTTACGGTGCTTGTTACATTTTTTCCTGTCACCTCCCCAGTAAGTAAAACATTTGCGTATCTCGCACTTGTTTTGCGCTCGCACTACGCCATCTGCAGCTACATGTTTACACTTGGATTTCAGTATAATTTTCGACAGATAACAGCTAGCTTTTTAGCTGGAAGACGTTAACAGTTAGTGGTTAGCGATATGCTACTGCTCTGGTGTTCCTGGTTGAAGTACAGGTTCATTAAACTTGATTTGGTCACAGTAGGAGAATTTTGCTTTCAATGAATGAGTTGCCAGTAATCGGATACCCGTGTTTGCGCAAAGAACTCTGGGATCGTCAGGGGGCAAGCATTGCAAGTCGCTAGAAGGAAATGTATGGCGAAAAGTTGTTTCGACCCCCAAAAACATGGTTTTGGGGAGAGATCAACGCTTTTTCACCGTTGTTTTATCGCGAATGGATTTTGGCAATGTTGATACATGGAAAATGTAAGTTTTTGTGTGAAAAACCGTGAAATAAGTGATAAAATTTACCGATATATTCCCTTTTGCTTGGGTGAGGTTTATTGTGAAATACATTGAAGAGAATATTAAAAATTTCAATACACGCCTGATCTCGAGAGGCTACCCGGAGCAAATGGTAGAAAAGACCCTCCGAGAAGT